TTGTTCATCTTTGTAGATTTATAGTCTATTTCATTATTTACAATTGCATTAAAGTCTCCTAGTATACATATATCTTCATAGTCATATTCTGTTATTTTTTTTGTAATTTCCCAAAAAATTCTTCTTGTTTGGCATTTGAAGCATATATTGTCACTAATAATATCTTTCTCATGTTCATCGTTATTTCCACCATTAGTATTCTCCCCTCCCATCTTCAAAAAATTTATTTGATTGTATTGTCTTTTTAATATATAATGCTATTCCCTTTTTGCTTTGGTCAGCCAGGGTCGTGTATAAATTATCAAGTTTTGCCTGCTCCAAAAAATTTCTACGTTGCTTTCTAATATGTAGTTCCTGTAAACACATAATGTCCAATTTCAATTTCTTTAGTTTATTGAATATTATTATTCTTTTTGTTGCCGAATTTAATCCATTTATATTAATGGAGATTACTTTTATTTCTTCCTCCATATCATTGGTTTATAGGTTTAGTTGATCTAATCATTCTTAACTCCTTCTGCTCCTTTGTCCCTTGCTCCTTCTCTTAGAGCTTTCGCTTCCTGTTTTTTCTCCATCTCCCTTTGATCTTTCACCTTAGCTTCCTGGCATTTAGCTCCTCTCTCTTCTTTTACCAGCATTCCCTCCTGTGCTGCTATATTTTGTTCATAAAATAATTCTGCTTTCTCTAGTGTATCTAATCTGTACCTTTGTTCGTGCCAGTTTACCAAAATCCCTTCTAGAACAAGCCATCTAAAACTCACACCTTCTTTAATCAGACTCTTAGTCAAAAAGTGATATTCCTTTCTTATTTCTCTTACCTTCCTTGGAACTTGCTTCAACAATACTATTTCTCTAGATTTGTATTTTATTGTGGTACTTCTTGCTGCTTGCAATATTTCATTTTTAGGGCTTTTTTTTTTGACAAATCTTACATGTACCTCTCTGGGCAAGTTGTTTCTCATTGCATATCTTGTATATATTCTAAAAGTCTCATCCTAGAGACATCCTCTGCCTAGAATATATTCCTTACTCATTTCTGTAGCCGCTGAGAGAGTTTCTGAGATCTTCTCTGCTAAATTCTCTCCTTTCTCTTCTTCTATGTTCTGGAGTCTTAGATAGAATTCGGATCTTTCCATCTCCCTCAATACATTGGCTCCTTCCTGTTTTTTATCAAATGTTGTCAGCCTATAATCCATCTCCTCCATTTTTTTCTCTGTTATCTCTGCCTTTTCTTCCACCTTCTGCAGTCTTTGTTCATTTCCCCCCATCATTTCCTTGACTTGTTTCAATTCATCTTCCACTTTGCTGATTTTCTCTTCTACTCTGTTTATGTGCTCCTTGATATCCGCATGTATGTCTTGCAACATATTTTAGCTCCAAAATAGCTTTGTCTTGTTGTGTTTCTGTATCTGCTGGTTTCTGTGTCACTGAACCAGGTGGGGTAGCTGTTGCAGATGCATATGCTGTTATTTTCTTCATCTTGATATTTGGATCTGACATTGTTGTATTTAATTTGTAATCAAGTTTTGTAATCCAAAAAATAGGTTAGTAAATTAATTACTATAGTAGAACTCTTTATAACACCTATTTGCCTGCTGGCCTATAAACACATTCTTTTTGCTTATTGACATTCTGCTTTTTCTATTTTTTTGCATAGGTAAAGGAGATTTAATTGGAGCGAACCTCTCAATTAAGGACCAAGTGATTAAAACAAATGCTGATGTGAAAGCTCTAACCTATTGTGACCTCCAATGTATTATTCTCAAAGGACTTTTTGAAGTGTTAGATCTTTACCCAGAATATGCTCATAAGTTTGTTGAAGACATTCAGCATGATCTCACTTACAATCTTCGGGAAGGCCATGAAAGTGATGTAAGTAGTGTCAACATGACTGCTGCTATATCTAGTTTCAAAAATAGAACTTGTTTAGCAGTTCATTTATCAGAATAAACAAACTATCATTTTTCTTGTGTTTGGTAATTCAATTGCTGCTTAAGTTATTGATTTTTTAAGGTATTTAAGATTATTCTTTATAATAATTCCCTCTAGTGTGGGTTTTGTGCTCATATGCTTTTATTTTGCTATTATTTCCAGCTCCATTAAACATGAATTCAAAGTAATGTCAATATAAACTTTTTCATATCCTGCTGAAAAGCATAATGCAATTATTATCGCTGAAGGGACCTGTACTGACAACCTCATGGATTTTAGAGTAGAACCCCCATAATATAACAGGGTAAAATGTACCTGTTAGTATATTGTCATTGGAGAATCACAGTACAAAGGATGGCTTTTAAAGTGTAATGAACTCTTGCAACCTAAAAACCAATTTATTATTTGAAAATAGTCCACTGAAGAATGGGAAGGAGATTAGCTTTGTAGCTAGAGGGTCTGCAATTCCAATAAAACCCACTAGCCAGAAAAGATTAAAAGTAGGTTTTGGGAAGTAAAGAGATTTCTTCAAATCAAAATTGGTTTTTTGCTTTTCTTCCAGTTAAGCTGTACTCTGTGCCCTCAGAGTCTTAAGGGTTTCTCTGAAAGGCTCAAGGAATATTGTAACTAGTTTTTAATAGTAAGTTAGAGTCCATCTATATAAGCCATGGATTTTAGGTATCAGCTACACTGTTATATTTTTCTAGCAATAGGATGAAATGTGTTAGAGGATACAGTAATATTTTGAGCATCTCAGGAACAGCTCTTATATTACTCCATAATGCTTGGCAACTCCTATAAATGTTCCAGTCATTGTCACTCCACTAACTTCAAAATATGGAAATATATAGGCAGGGATATGAATGCAATGATTTCCTTCAGTTTCATCATCCCATCCTATTCCCAATAATCCCAAGAAAAAATAGTATCATCATCTTCTTGAACTAAATCTCAGTTTTAAGATTCAACATACATCAAGCAGTAATAAACCATTGTTATAAAAGAATAGGGAACCCATGACCACCTAATTTTGGTGAATCATAAATCCGAACAGACTTAACTAGCATGGTCTAAGCTGAGGAATGCTGGGAATTATTGTTTAGCAAGTTCTGGAAATTAATGTTCTTCCCAGGTTTGGAGAACTCAGGAGCTGTTCTCTGGTAATTGAAAGATGGAAATATACTGTAATAATACTCTAATTGTAAATCAGAATAGCAAGTAATGTTTATCACTAGTCAGACTAATTTGCTGTGAAATAAAAGTTGAAAAAGGTATATCATATCAGATATACAGATATGAAAGAACAAAATTATATCAAGTCTTACTCTCCCTGCTGATCTTTAATTGGGTTTTTATATCTGTTTTCCAACCATATAGATTTCTCTCTGGTATTTGTTGATCAGAACAAATTTGCATAAATGAATTGGCTAAATATAAATCCAATTGCTTCATATATTTCAACCTGATAGCTGCAGGCTGATTTAGAGAAACCAGCTAGGTTGCAGCTGGGAATAGGTTGAATAGGGTGGGGCTACTCTCTAGAACCAGTTACAGGGGTATCTATTGGTATGAATAAAAACCTAAGGAGGTAACAAAAATAGTATAATCGAAGCTTCACCTAATTTTTATGTACATCATATGTGCAACGTGATAAAAATAGGCAGAATTTTAATTTCACTGTTATGGCCATCATCTTGGCTACTATATTTTTTGACATCCTGTACTTACTTGATGCAATTTGCATCACACAGAACAAGTCAATATATGAACAATATGTGCATATTTTTATGCTTCCCAGGATTTGTCTCATGAAGAGTTTAAATCATGGAATTATCTTAATTGGTCTTTATGATTTTCAGTCCCTTTGAACAGATTAGTTCTTACATTATGACAAAAATGGAACTGCCAGATGACCTGATCATATCTGCCAGTTATATTTTTAAAAGGATTTGTGCATAACATAATTTTTAAAATAAATATTGAACATATTAATCTGATTCAGAAGAAGCAGATTTGAAAAAGAAGTTACAAGATAAAAAGAATATAAGCAAAAGTAAATAGATATAAGATGTACAAGTTATTAAATTAAGTACATATTCTCAGAATAATATCTGAGTTTTATATATTTAAATACATTAAATCATTTAGAATTACTGATCATTATTAAAAATGTGTTAGTGTACTCATTATTGTTGACAGTAATCAGTGTAGTACATAAAATGTAAATTAAAGTGAAAAAATAGTCATATATAATAATCAATATAAATCCTACTCTTGTTTAACAAATTAGCCACAACTTAAATGTTAAAACATTAGGATAAGTAAAGTGCAAACCAATGTCTAGAATTAGTCCCAAATAATTTCCATGTTGAATTAAATTCTGTGTCAGATGTATTGTTCAAATACAATACAATATTCTTTGAAAGGACAGAGTATACAGAACAAGCCAATTTCAACTTCTCTGAGAAAACGTACAAAATTAAAAAGATGAGCCAAGAGGCCCTGATGATACAAAGAAACAATAAAGTCCTAGTGGTTAGCAGACTTTTCAGAAGCCAGGATACCACCCATGTAGCATTTTTGTTGTGCTACTTCCCTGCGGATTATTGGGACAGTTGAAGACTAGAAACATTCTTTTTAAAGAAATGCACATGAGGAGATACATATATGCATTATTTCTATGTAGAATATATTATTTCTACAAGTCATTCCTATATTTTTATTGGTGCTACAACAATTATGTTTGTGTCTATTAAAAAACATCCTTTATTCCTACTCTGTCATTTCTAGGTTGTTGGGAGTGTTGATGGCTTTGCAAACTTTGATTACATCTAGACTGTATTTTTAAATTGATTGCTGGTAGAGTAGCACACTGAAATTACAGATACTTTTCTGCTTTCAGTGCTGCCAGGCTGCTTTAGTTCTACCAAGCTGCTGCTGCAGTCACGTGATCCTCATTTTCAATTTTCTGAGGCAGTTTCCCAGCCACTCTTGCAATCCCTTGCTTCCTTCCCACCCAACTGCAGTCACTTACCATCGTACTGGAAAAGGAATGGAAAGGAAGAGAGAGGGAAATAAAGAAAGCATGGAAGAGAAGAAGGAAGTGAGAGAAGGGAAGAATAGGGAAGAAGGAACCAATACCACCCATCCCAGCTCACACCATCTGTCTGTGTACTCTTCCAGCCTAAGCTGCCTCTGTGCAGCTTCTGTAACCTGCACAGTACCTCTTACATATTTTCAAAAAAACAAAGGGACAAGATTGAATACATTATTCTTAATAAATGTTTTTGGGCTATTCAATCTAGATTAAATCATTAAATACAAGTGGTCTTCCCACATTGCCCACTGAATTTTCTGCTCATAACTGAGAATTTGTCTGAATCTCCCCCTCCCAAAATAAAGAACATTGGAATAAGCAAGCCATGTTAGTCTAGGAAGACAAAATAAGTCTGGAAGTACTACTTCTCAGATTAATAACTACTATTATGCATTTCATAACATATGTTATTCTGAAAAGGTGTTTGCAGGCGCTTTCAATTCCAGATGAAGGAGAAATAATCCAGTATTTTCTCAAGGACACATCTCCCATTAATGATACTAGTAATGGTACTGAAAAAGCTCAGTGGAATAAGTTTCTTCATTATATTTCTTTAGGAGTAGGAAGCCAGAGGTGCTACAGATGATTGAAGAGATGCCTGAACAATTAAAGAAAGTACATTCACCTACAGTCCTGCACTGTACAGGAAGGCTATATTCCACCCATGAGAATTTCTCTGAAATGTTCTCCTTTGAAAGAAAGGATTTCTAAAGCAAATTGCTTTTCATCAAACTGAATGTGAACCGTTAGGGGGAAAATACAGGATAAATTATTTTTAATTTATCCTTAAGATGTTATGCTGTTTATTTATTTTTCAATAAAAGCTTCTAACCTCTGGATTAAAAAATCAGGGATGGCAGAATAAATGATTTGACTATGTTTAAGTCTTTGACAAAATTTAAAATAAGTTTGCAGATAGTCATTATTAACTATTCCTGGTTATGAAATTTTCTAATTCTGCTTGGATACCTACTGTTTTGCTGACAATAACCTTGAATTAATTAATTAGAAGACACCAAGTGAAATTAATAAGATACTCCAAGAAATATAATTATTACACTTTCTCCTATTGCTACAAGTTGTAATTCATATATTAACACCAAGCACCATAGCGTTCTGAGTGACTCACAGATTTCAAATGCCACTCCACAAGTATTAATGAAGTCCCAAAGGATAAAAAACCTTGGGGAAAGACACTACTCCTTTGCCTTCAGTTCAGTTGGATACTATCAATATATATGATTTTGTGGTGGAATAGAGGGCTAACTTGGATAAGTAAGCTACATCTATGGATTTGGTGCTTATTCAGAATGATCCATTTCTCACATATTTGAAAAATGAGACTGCATGCCATGTACTGCTTCCTCTGCACTAACAAAATAAGCCATTTGAAGTAGAAAAAAATAGTATTTGTGTAGGGTTGAACTTTATTGCATTTTATTTCATTTTTTTCCATTTTTATGTTGAAAATAATTGTTGGAAAGGAAAGAACAGGTATACCTTATGGAATGTTTCAGTTGTTTAATTGATTATTGCTTTTCTCAGGACATTCTTTTCAGTTGTGTTTTCTGTGTTACTTGTGTTTAATATTGCATCTTGTCAGACACCCAGATTACAACAATTTAATGAATAAATAAGCAAAATTCTCATCGGTGGAAAGGATTCTGGCCTTTACTTAAGTGATGAAATGACCAAGGGATTTGATATACACTCAGTCTTTCATTCTATTATCTTCTTTCCAGCAATCTGAGATTGCTTCAGTTAACTCTGGAGGAAACACATCTAAAAGAAATTCCTCTCTGGAATGCTTTCCCTGGAATGCTTTCAAACCAGAAAGGGATGG